TTAGAAATCCCAAAATGAAACTTCACAATGAAATTTCGAACAATTTTAATGCAAATTAAAAAGTACCGTTACAGTTTGGCACTAGCAGTCTATAGTATAGCTTACACTCTGCTGAGTAAACTAAATTCTTGTTGATGTTGTAGTCTTCTCTTGATTGATGCTGAGCGATTGTCGAATAGCTATAAAATCGCTCTGATGGCTGAAAAAGGATCATGATGTCAATACTGCTATCTTGACTTAAGGCTGCGGGCAAGCCCAAGTCTGACCAAATTTGGGTGCTCGCTCACTGTTCTTGACGCGTTGTAGGAGAGGGTTACGCTAATCTCTCCTAAAAAATATATATTTTATGCTGGTATCTGTACGTAGCCTGTTGTTGCAGCTCGAACAATATTATGACGAGATTCTATCCGATTTGATAGACAATCTGACGTCCCCCCAGTATCGCGTGAGGCAGTCGTGCTGTTTTGCTTTGCAAGACTTTTTTACTAGCGGCGTTAACTCGTCGATACACAGCTGTCTTGGTCGATTAGAGGAACTTTGGACGAAAGTGTTTCGAGTTATGGATGATCATCACGAAGCAACGCGAGTAGTCGCAACGAAAACAGGAAAACTACTAAGCAAGGTAACTAAATTCGCCGACTTTAAGGTTTAATTGTGTATATTTAGTTATGTGTGAGAGGATCTGACACTAGTCAAGGAAAAGCAGGTGTAAAAATGGTTCAGATCATCTTGCCAGTGTTATTAAATGAAATCACAAATCCCGTGGCCGAAGTTAGGCTGTTATGGTCAGTTGAAGTTTACGCTTTCATAGTAATTTCTCTTTAGTTTGCAGACATTATCGGAGCTCGTAGCAGCTTCGGCCGACCAATTAAAGCCGTTTTTAGCTCAACTCATACCTGCATTGCTGCAGGCAACCGGCGAGTTAGAATCTCAGAAACTGTCACACTTTAGCACAATGTTAAGCGCCCAAAGCGACGCTCAAGAGGCTGTGGATAGTGCCAGAGCAAATATTGCGAAATCTCACTTTACTATGGAAACAGTGTCAAAGGTCTTTTGTAACTTATCGTGGTAATTTATTTGATGATATAATTTCAGTGTCTTCAATACGCCGACGCGTCAATATTAGGAGAATTGACACCTAAAATTACTGAGTTGATGAAAAGTTCGGTCACTTTCGGTACTCGAATTGTGTGCGTACATTTTATTTCACTTTTGATAGTACAGATGAAGCAAGACTTGCAACCATATTCAGCCACACTTCAGAATATATTGTTGCACGGTCTTACTGATCGCAACGCCGCAATCCGCAAACAATGTGCTTCAACCATAGGACAATTGGTTGCAGTATCCCAACCCCCTACCTTGGAGAAGTTATTTAGAAAATTGAAACAGTGGTATTTCGAGCGAGAAGGTGACACGCACTTTTCTTCAATTTTTTTTCCTTTACACTGCGACTTGCAGATGACTCAAGAAGATCCGCATGCGCGCAAACTATCCAGGCAGTAAGTAACTACAATCAGGAAATTTTGAAGCAATATGCGTCGTCAGTGTTACCTTGGGTGTTTTTCGCAATGCACGAGGAGAAAACGCCCGAAACCGAAGGTACTATAACAATCTGGAATGAAATCTGGTCAGAAAATAGCCCCGGTACAGAGTACGGCATTCGGCAAAATTTGAAACCGATCTCAGACGTTTTAAAGGAAGCGTTAGAATCCCAGTCTTGGAACATGAAAGCGCAGGTTTGTAATGTATAATAATACAATTTGGTTATGCGTTATCTCATAGGCAGCCACTGCTATAAGTACGGTTGCGGTTAAATTGGGAGTATCGCTCGAAGCGAAGGAAAGAAACAATTTAATTCGAATTTTAATCAACGGACTGAGCGGGAGGACGTGGAATGGAAAGGATAAGTTGCTAAATGCTCTCGCAAGCATATGCTCAGGATCCAAGTTAGTTGTTTGTATTATTTTTGGGCGAAAAAAGGTGATCTATTGAAATTTGTGCGTGCAAAGATCAGCTTGTTTAGAGTTAATGGGGTTTGTCGTGCGTAATCTAATATGTAGGTTTGTGAAAAAATATGAATAATTTCCGGTTGGCAACCCTTTAATGTATGTGAAGTAAGATCCAGAAGTTAGCAGTAGGTTTTCATTCTAAACTTTTGTCAAAGACGGATTAACTGAATGTTGAATAATAGGTTGCTAGTTCCCCCCCCCCCTCCCCTTCCATTTATAATCCGCTTGACTTACATTCTATTGTAATAATTCCATTAATTTTAGGGATTCATTAAAAGAAGATAAAGACATTGATATAAATAACATAATCGAAGTAGTGCTGAAGGAGTGCCGCAAAGAGCAGATTGTTTATAAATCAAAAGCATTAAAGTCTTTAGGCGACGTTTTATCGGCTCTACAGGTGGATAAGTTTGATGAAGTGCACAATATGGCACAGTCAATTCTTACAGATGATCCAAATGGTGATACAGATGAGGATCTGTCCTTAGAGGAGATTAGCGAAAATAGGGAAAATCGAATTAAAATTAAGGAGGTTATATACGAAACGTTGGGCAAGGCTTGGCCCGAAAACAGTAAGGTTACCCAAGAGAAGTACAGGGAGTTGTTCGTCGAGCACTGCAAAGCGTGTCTGCCAAAGTGCACCAGATCCGTACAAGTTTGTGTTATTTCTGCACTACGCGATTTTGTTGATAAATTAATTTTGCTTAAAGAAGATAGACTAACTGACAAAGAGAACGAAAGTTTATCTAAAATTGTAGATAATATTATAGAAGTAAGCATATATGCTTTAGGTGCGTATTTAATATCGTCCATTGCAAACTGTAAACTGTTCTTTCCCTACAGGTATTGCAAAACACACCAGATTAAGGAAGGATACTTTAAGTGTGATTTTTGTGCTTGCAACAAAATTAAAAGGTAAATTCTATGAGATAATTTCTCCCCTTCTTTGTTTACATTTTCTAACTTTGTAGATAAGAAGCGTCATTCGGATTTGAATAGAATAAGTAAGATATTTTATGAGACCTTACCAGAGCTAAGTAAAGATAATCAACCAGAGATAAAGTCAAGAGTGACAGACCTTAAAAATCTACTTAGCAAAGATTAAAGTGTGTCATATTGTTCTGTGAGATGTAGCTAATCGTTTCTACTCAATATATGCTAAACTATTTAATAATTCAACTTTCCTTTACATCTTTTTGAGCTTTCCTAAGATCATATATATTTACCTGAAACCCTCAAGAAAATATAAATTTCAGGGCTATTTTGACATTAGAAAGTTGATCTTTACCTGACTCCCATTACAGTCCTAGTACATGCAAAATAACAATTAGATCGTTCATTGAATAAGTTATTCAATCAATGATTGAATAATTATAATGCAGACTGTGGATATTTTTAAATATTAATATACCTACACAAAGGATAATGGTTTTTTAATTACTAACAATTAATGGAATATGTGCGTGGAAGTAATTATTCCTTTAGTTTTGCGCCAGTCATTAAGAGGTTTGTACGCCTTTTCGTACCTCTTTCTTGACTTTGTGGGGAGCGAATATTGCACTACGGCTGCCGCAGCTTCGGCTACATTATAACAACGTCTTGCGTAGGTACTCTTCTTCACTGATACCTGCTTTTGTACCTAGTTTTAAAGACTATAGTGGAAAAGTACAAAGCATAAACTGCAAACTGCATTAAAAATGACACTGATTGTTTTATTTTGAAATCTATGGAAACAATTAAATAAAATTTTATACATAATATGTCATGAAAGTGACGGCCAGTTGCACAAAAAAAATAATCCAGAATTATTGTTTAATCCGGTATTAAGACATTTGATTGGCTTTATATTGCAGTGGGCAGCCAATCAAATGTCAAAATTCTAGTTTAAACTCAGATTTGGCAAATAATAGGCGCTTTCTTTCGGCTACTTCGCAATCATGATTTCGAGATCGTGATTAGTAGGATCACGTTTTACGAAAGAACGCGCGAATTTAAATCAAAGTATGGTTAAGTTTACGTAGTGCACATTTGCATTCGAATTATGTATTTTTTGTTTGGATTATGAGAATAATTTAAATACAAGTGAAGTACTTGCACAATTATGCTCCTCTTCAGTTACAAATATTGACTAATCTAACATTTGAGCAAAAATATCCTTGCATTTATAGGTTAGGAATTCGTGTCAAAAAAATTTTATGTTCGGTTTGTTCACGATTTTAGCAATCATGATTATAAGATCACACTTCGAAAGAACGTGATTTGACAATCCAAACGCGTTTGGATCACCGAAAGAAAGCGCTATTTTGTTTCAAGGGTGCTGAACCTTTCGTCACACTATCTGACGTCATAGCAAAATTAAGGCAGGTTGTAAATTAGTAGTTGGTTTACATATTGTCACATTGACGTTTCAACTTATTTATTAAGGTGTCACTATCGTTCATCATTATTAAACCGCCCAAGTTTACAATCACTTGTAAGGCATCTGGTCCTGATAGGTTTTTTCCTGTTCTTAGGTTTTATAATGGCTAAATGGTCATGTATTTTATAATTCCAGTTTAATTCTCCGATTTGACGAATTAGAATAATTTTGATTTAATCAATGACAAATGTAGGATTACAACTTCATGCAACCCAAAACCAACGTAATCAGGGATTATAGTAGGAATAAACTTAGATTAGAATAATCAAGATTAGTTTAATCCAATACTTGATCATGCAACTAAAATTTTTGTTTAATCTCGGATTTGGCAAATAATCTTGGATTTCGATTATAATTCGCTTTCTTGCAACCGGGCGTAATTGACATAAATCTCTATGGGAACATTTATATGAGGCAACTTATCAGCGGTTACACGGCTCTATAAATTGAAACATTACTTTTACCTTTTATTTCTCACTTCTAGAAGCAGAAGAAATAAATCAATTTGGAAGCTATCGTCTTATAGCTACACAGTGCCAAATTATTAAGCTACCAGCATTGTTTAAATGAATAAACACAAATAAAAAATAAGAAGAGAGAATATAACGGTGGTGGGAAATTGCCATAGACATCATATGTCTATGGAAATATCATAGCACGCAACGACGGAAGTCGCCATCATATTACTTCCTTTTTACCCATTTTCGTCTCGTACCCTTTTAATGCAAGGTTTTCTCCTTTTATTTTTTACTTGTAGATACTAACCTACAAGTAGAGAGACTGCAACTGTGGTGGGAAATAGCATACCACGTGACGGAAGTCGCCATCATATTACCTCCTTTGCGCTGGTCAGTTATGTTGATTTGACTTATGTCATAAAACAAGATCTCAGTTTTGTTTTATTACGCCACTGCCATATCTGCTTTTGCTTAATGTTATTAGAGGTTTCCATTGAATTGAATGAATTCTATGAGAATATTGGTCATATGGGCAGTTTTTTGGTGGGTGATTTTGAAATCATTTATTGATGCTCTTACATATGTAGATACAGTACCAATAAAAAATGTTTAACGTCTTTATTAAGTACAATATTGGAAATGTATGGAAACTCAGTAATGGTTACAAATGGAAACAATATAATTATCAGAGTGGAAAATCAGAGCCGATAAACTAATTCATGATAAATATTTATAACTGCATCAAAATGCTTAAATGTAAATAGGTGGATATGTAGTAGCTATCTCTACATATGCTGAAGTGACTCTTATCTTATCACATAATAAAATATATACAAAGTCATAACACAAATAAGAACACACTTTTGCAGTACCTACCTAGGTCATATACAAAATATCACCAAATGTTTGACTTTCTAATGCTAAATTTCGCACGTAGGTATAAATTTTAAAATATACCGTCATAGTTCACTCTGATTAACTCGCATCACAGACAAATGGTACAGAACTGTATTTAAAATGTGCGCAGTGCGCTCACATGTTGAGGAAAAAATTACAAAAATATTGTAAATTTTATCAAAAAACTTCGCCTGCAACTTTGTCACTATTCGTTTTGCTCTCTTGGCTTTCGCTCGAACTAAAGGTACTAAAACTTGCCTTTTCTTCGTCACGTTTGTTTGTTGTTGCATCGCCTCCTTTCTCTTTAGAAGCGTTCGAGTCTTCATTATGAAACGGACCGCTATCTGCAAGTGTCAGCCTTGGTCTATACTTTTGCTTCATTCTTCCACTTTTGGAAATAGACAATCGCCGTATGGGCGGCTTCACTTCTTCCACTTCCTCTACGGGTGCCTTTTTTTGCGAAGAAAATAAATTATTAAAAAAGTTTCTACTCATGTTTCTCGCAATGCTATATGTTTGCACCGACGATGTAGTTACCTATATTGAAGTGTTAGTTATTGGTTGTGATAATGAAAATTAGATAAAGCTCAGTATATATCAAATGAGATAAGAATTCAAAGGAACTTTAATGTATGAATTAGGATAATATCCGTTTAATTATAAGAGGTATAGTAATATTACTTTACAAATTAAATGCAATATGGCTTTTGTTTTTGAAAGAACTGGTACTGAAATATGCAAAGCGGAAAATGCAATATTCTAAATTAGCAGTTTGGTGTATTATGTGTTGCCTAATTAAATAAAAAAAGCAATGCGCAAGGCTTGGATTGAACACTGCTGCTTATCACGTGCGTTCTGTGAACAGTCAATCCTATTTTAATATTCTATATAAACAATAACGTAAAACATTTATTTTCTTACATTGACATTTTGCCATACGTATAATGGTCACGAGCAGAATTACGTTTAAATCTACCCATCTTAGATCTTACTTACAATTGCATCGAAAACCAATATGTAATCAAACGTGAATCAAGGAATCAACGAATATAACATTTACTTTTGATCTACGAGTTGCAACCTTGTGCGCGTCGTGCAAATCTGTAACAGACAATGACAACGAACAAATAAAAGTATTAGTGAATCGCGCTGCACAAAAAATATTGCGAAATAGCAATGCTAACGTGTGAGACGGAGGCAATCGTATACACAAACTTTAATTAATACTCAAAAAGAATCAATAATTCAAATGACTTCACACTAGAAAAAGCAAAATTTTTTATCAACCACGTTTCTCGTATATCAAATATGAAAACTTAATAATTGTGACGTTAAATTCAAGAAAAGTACTTTACGATGCACAAATAACTAGGTTTCTATTGATCTAATCGATTTGTAATGTAAATAAACTAGTATGAGCAAATTCTTCGGAATAAAACAAATAACGTGACTAAAATTTGTAAATCTCGTCTTCGGACAAAGCCTCGGTAACTTAAAAACATTGTTTACAAAGCTAATCCGAAGGGTATAATGTAATCAGACTAACAGCAATCATATAGTTGGTAGAATTGAAGTAAAATTTTCGCAACCGGTAATGTAGAAACTCATCTATGGCGTTCTTGATTTGTTGAGATGGTGGTGGACTTTCACAAATGAATGTTTCTTGTGCAATGTTAAGAAAGTACAAAACTCTGCGGTTTCCACTCAGGAATATCGATGTAGAAAATATAATCAGGTACCTAGGTAATAATGAAGCAAGTAAACCAGAAGTAAGAAGCCTAAAAATGATTATTCAAAGTTAAAAGGTAAATGCGTAATTTGTGTTAAATACAGAAAACGACCTTAAAATTTGTAAAACATATCCGCAAACGAGTCAGCGAAGCGGTGAAAGTAAAATAGCAACAGAAAAACACTACATTTATACTAAAAAATCCCAAAAAAAGCTGTCGAGTAATCGTAATTGCGTGTACGTTCTACAAGTAATGATCGAATCTCGTCTTACAAGAGTGCGTGCGCCGAAAGAAAAAGAAATCTCTGCACGACCTCGGATGGCGACACAAAGAACTAAAGGTAATAAGAAATCTACTACATCAGCGAAAATAGAGAACTAAAAGGCAATGAGAAGTCTACTATACCTATCGGAATAATTTACATCTAAACTAGTGAATTACAAAGAAAATACCGAGATGGCGTAAGAATATCGAATATACATAAGGATACAATAATCAAAGGTATTACCAAAGAGGTGCACATAGTGATATCAGAGCAGAAAATCTGAAATACTACGACAGATATACCTATACGATGGTATGTTGGGAGGTCATCTCAGAGTAACAGACACTTCAGTGAGTAAATTGCGAACTGGACAGAAGCATGCACTGCACTGTTGGTAAA